AGTGACTTTGAATCTGACTGAAAGCGCTCCGCATCTGAGATAACTCATAAATGTTGCCCTGTATTTTAATGATTTTTAATAGAATTACCACAACAAAATACTGACGTACACAACCCTAAATGCGACTGACTGAACTGCCCGATACTTTAACGTGGCAGAGTAAATTATTCTTAGTTTGCAGTCTATGCCTTTAAAAATTCATACAGTGATTTTGGTACATTTCTAGGGAAAAAAGATAAAGAACTTCCTCCTAAGAAAGTACCTGTAGAAGCCATGGTTTGCTTTTATCATGTGTAAATCATTTGACTTGCTGTGACTCACACTGATTCCTCCTTTTGCCAGGGGAATAACTTGTATCACATTCTTTGTTCCAAAGTGCTTTTCATTCCAGTTTTGATCAGTTGTATATAAATGTACATTTTTGTTACTTTTGCTGCCCCAGTTACAAATATATCTCCCATAAAAATTTTCTCCCATTAGGTCTGATTGTGTACACTTTGCCTAGGTCTTTCCAAAATAGAATTTATGTAAATGTTTATTTTATATAAAATATGATGAAAATAATCATGTCTGGTTTCAGTCTCTCAAGTACTCTGTGTTTACTACCCATTGATATCGATGTCACCGATACTTGTGTGCTTTATCTAAAAAGACAGTCTTCCTTTCTCTCCTCATTCATTCATTTCATTGTTTTCTGTCTGCTTTCTTTTTCATTCTTTAGAATGATTATTTCAGAACTTACCCCCTCCTCATGATCAGCAGGTACCTTCACCTGAGTAAATAAAAGGCAGAAGAGAGGTAGTCTCTCAATATCCTGAACTTCATCTACAAACTTACCTGCACCCAGTGCTATCCTGTCCTCTCTCCTGTGGGTGCAATAGAATTGCCCTGTACTCTGGATTTTGCTTCTTGTGGAACTTCACTCCATCCCTTAGCCTCTCTTTTTCATCTCTCACTTTTTCCTTTTGCTGGCTCTTGTCAATTCTATCTTAAAACACGCACACAAGTAACCACCATCAAAAACCATTTGAAAAAACCCTTCTTTTATGGCCTTTCCTTCTTTAGCTGCTACCCCATCTCTTTCTGTCCCTCATGGTGAAACGTTTTGAATGAATTATCTTCACACATATTCTGTACCTTCATCTTTCACATACTCTGCATCACCAGGATATCTGGTCCTACAACAGATATTCAAAGGAAAGTGCTCTTTCTAAGGTCAACAGCACTCCCTTTGTGCAAAATCCTGGGTTTTGTGAGACTTTGGGGAGGGTGCTGGAGTTTAGAGCACTGGTTTATCTGGGGATGGAATTTTTTTTTTTAACACAAAACATTATTTGTCCATGATTTGCTCATCTCTTACAGATTAGTCACCTAACACGTCCTAATTTTATACTTACCCCTAGATTTGAGACTTCCATCAGGAGTCTTGAAAGGCTGCCAATAGCAGATCACTACTGTCCTTACCTAATGAAGATATATCAAAATTACAGGCAGATCTCCTATATATCACAAGTCCAATCTGGGGTAGTCTAACCCACTCTGCGCCTCCCTGACATCCTTTTCTAAAGGTTTTCTTTTTTTTTAAAGAAAGAAGTAGAAAAAGAAAATTCCATTTGGATACTTCAACATCACCACAAACTCAACTTATACTTAAACCATCATTTTAACAGAAAATATGAATCTAAACCTAATGACCTGGCTATTTTGTATGTATGCAATTCTTATTGAATGTATCTTTTTTAATTTAATGGGAAGGCATCGTTTTGTTAGGCCTGTAAGGGATCAATCCTCATATATATATAGGATTTCACTTGAGGCTGTGAATTTTGAACTCTGGAAACAAAAGGAGCTGTGCTGTAACAGGAAATAAAGTGCGCAATCCCAGAGAGACTCCCAGCTGTGAAACAACCCACAGAAGATCCTGCAAAGCTGTGTGTGCCCCACGTGCAGAAGAGAGCAACAAGACAGTCTGTGAGCCTCAGCAGAATGTTAGCCATGGTGTGACCAGCAACTTCAACACTTTGGGCCCAGTGTTCTTGCACGACACATGTTCATTTTTTCCCCCTCCTGTTTACTCGGTAAAGGCTTTTTGAAGGAGTCCTGGTGGTGCAGTGGTTAAGCACTTAGCTGCTAACCAGAAGGTAAGCTTACCGGAAGTTCAAACTTACCAGGGCTTAAAATGACTATCTCATTGGTCGCTCTACGGGAGAAAGATGTAGCCTTCTGCTTCCGTGAAGATTACAGCCTTGGAAACCCTATGCAGTTCTACTTTGTCCTTATAGGGTCACTATCAGTTGGAATCGACTCAACGGACCATGGTTTAAAGGCTTAAAGGCTTTTTGATGATTTTAACCTACCCTCCTCTTGCTAAGAAGAAAGGAGTTTGGGTTCATTTGGGGGATCAGAGCTTTCATTGTAGAGCGACGTACCTCTGGGGCCAATGTGATGTTTCCAGTGATAATTCTTGTGAGATCACTAAGAAGAAAGCAAAACTTAGGGATGGGAGTGGTGAGGACCATTGGTCAGGCAGCTCATCATAGCTGGTGATTTTCTAGACATTATTCAAGCCTGGAGGGTCAGTACTTTATTTTCACAGAAGAACTGTTTACTTTACTGAACCCCCTCCCAGTCTCCTCAAAACACTCAACCGTGAGTCCCAGGAATCATCTATTCAGTCAGACTGCCATCAAAGGTGTTTTTATTTGAAATAAATACTCAAAATGAAATGGTGCCACTCTCTAGAGTAGCGCAGTCCCGTTGAACTTTCTGTGATGGTGGGAATGTTCTCTAGCTGCACTGCCACGTTGGCTATTGAGCAATCAGAATGAGGTTAGTGTGACTAAGGAAATGAATTTTAATTTGATTTAATTAATTTTAAATTTAAATAGGCACGTGTGGCTAGTAGCCATCATATTGGACAGTGCGGCTCTAGAGCTTTTCAACATTGTGGGGCTTGGGGCACAGAAGCCTCTTTTAGGTTTATGGGACAAGAACGTTTGAGAAACGTGTTCCAAATTTGGGTGCCAGTCCCTTTTTAAGCTTTCCCCCTCTGCTCTCTTTTACAGTTACAATGGTCATTGCCCCCTGCTGACAGTCTCCTGCCAGTATCATACCTGTATTCCCTCCACCTCAACTCTTCCATTTTCTTATCCACCTACCTACTTCCTGCCTGTCTCCTTCCATTTGTTTACCATCCCATCTCAAGGAAATTTTATATCTATTTTCCACAGAAGTAAGACAAGTAGGCCTGAGGGAGGGAGTTCAACTTCCCCCTTGCCCTAATTTTCTGATAAAATGTAAATCCACTCCAAATGCTGGCTTTATTCCCCTCCGCCTCTCCCAACCTCAGATGAACTTAATACAACGTACTGTGTATAGAAATTCTGACATGATTATCTTACCAGTGAATTAATTTTGATAATCTTAAATGATGGTGGGGTGTAGGCAGATGCCCTAGACTCCTACCTACATCTTCAGCCAATTCCACTAAAATCGATAATACTGCTACCCAGAAAAGTATTTGAAAGCTCTGAGTATGAAAGGCTTCAATCAGCTTCTTTCTTAGATGAAGAAGGGGTAGTACGATGGTAAGCTTTAATGAGTCTTCTGCCTTTCAGACATCTGGCTGACTGTGTCTTGTACACTAAAAACCAAACCAAACCCATTGCCATCCAGTCAATGCGGACTCATGCTCCAGAGGGTTTCAAAGGAGTGGCTGGTGGATTCGAACTGCCGACCTTTTGGTTAGCAGCCGTAGCTTTTAACTACTGTGCCACCAGGGCTCCTCGTGCCTTGTATAGGTGACCAAATTCACAGACCCTAGGCTTGGCCCAGACCCTCTGGTCTGGAACAGAATTCATTTGTGTTCTAGGCCCCTGACCACCTTACTCCCTAGATCTATCTATACACTTGTGAGTGGCTTTCCAGCCATCGAATCACCTTTCGCCTGTCTCTAGGGCCAGATGGCCCGACACTAGGCAATCCGGGCGGTTAGAGAGCGGCTGCGGCTCCAGAAACATCCCAAAGAGGGAAAGCTGTGCGCCCAGGAGCTGCTGCAGATGCGCCCCATTAGGGCCGCTGCCTGGGAATAAAAATCGCGGCTCCAGGGCTGTTTCGGAAGGGCAGAAGGAACACGGCGCGGGGAGGCCTACCTTCCTCGCCTAGTTTTTGCAGCTAGCGACGAAGAAACGCGGAGCCGAGGTCCGGCGGGCACGTGGAGGCCATCGCGGCGCTCGCGGGGGCCGGTTTGCTGCTGTTGCTCACGATTGGCCTCCAAGCCTAGGTGAGCCCGGGAGTCTGGAGAGTGCTGGATAGGGAGGGGTTCCTTCCTCCTCGGCCTGGATCTCCCCGTGTTGTAGACACCTTCTGTCACGTTTTGGGAGAAAAGGGTGTGGGTTAATAGTTCGGGCCCAGATATTCACAAAGAAGGGCTTGGGCCAGATTTTCTTTTTGAAATTCTTTAGATTCTGGATTTCTAGTTTTTAGGCACTTTACTAACCACACTTGTGCTGAGAAGCCTCTTCCAAGGAAAAATAATGACGTGGAAGTAACTAAGCAAAGCCAAATGTCTCTCTTCCACAGTAGTATATGTTGTTACCCAGTATCTTTAAATATAATAGCGCAGGACAGGGCAGTGTTTCATTCTGTTGTACATACCGGGTCACTGTGAGTCCGAACCAACTGAACAGCACCTAACCATCACCACAACAAATTATTTGGTGTACACCCCCACCCCCCACTACAAAGTAAGCCCCATTTCAGTTACCAGAGGGAGAGCTGGCTCATTCCTGACGAGGTCTTCTCTTGTTACTGCAGCTCAGACTGACAAGCGGCAGGGGAATCCATGTAGCATGTTCTGTTCAACATGGGGGTGACTCTGGGACTTGGGACATACAAAGGGATATATCCTGAGAAAAGAAACTGGGTAGATTGCAGCTGTGGAGGCCAGGAAAAGTCCCAATGTGAAATCTTGGTAAGGTGAACTCTTAAATAAGGCTGTATGTGAGAGGATACACACACATATGCTCTCCCATGCAGGACTGAAGTGTGGAATTCATGCAGTTGACTTGAAAAGTAAGGAAGCTGCCTTGGAACCTGGGTTCTTCTCTGGAATTATTAGTTGGAGATATTCAACAGTTGGTGGGCATCCGTGGCAGGTCACTATGTCAAAGGCATTGATTTCTTAATGAGAAGATAGTGAAATATTTCCTTTATTTCAAACATCAGGACTGTAGGTTACTATGTAATTTTTCTCTTGACCCCACTCCACCTCCCTGCCAAAAAGTTTACTTAATGGGATATATCTGCGGTGTGATGGATTGCTTTTGTGTGGCCTTTCTCACCACAATCTTGTAACTCCCACCCAAGTGATTTCGTGGGACTATGCAAATAACAGTAATTGTGGTCCACCAAGAGGATTGGTCAGTTTTGCCATCCCACTAGGCTTAAAAGAGAGCCAATTCCAGAACAGAGAGGATCTCACCACTACCAAGGAAGAAGAGCCAGGAGCAGAGTGCGTCCTTTGGACCTGCGATCCTTGCTCTCAGACCCTCCTAGACCCATGAGACAGAGAGAGCTGTAACACTGAAGATGGTGAGACACAGCAGCAGCAGAGGCAGCAGAACCAGGAGACAAGTGAGAGACAGCATGGTGGCCTTCCCAGCCCACAGAGCCAAGAGAGCTGAGTGCCTTTGGGACAGAGACTTGCTGGTGGAGTAGGGTGCCTCCAGGAACTTTGTGGAGCTAGGTCTGCCGACCCATGAAATTAGAACTAACCACCTTTGGTTGAGGCTTACTGGCGGAGTAGGGTGCCTTGGGTTATTTATTGGCAGAGATGAAAGAGCTCTGTAACACTTGCCTGAGCAGGGCAGAGACTAAGGGGCCAGAGACATGCGTGCCTGTGAGCAAAGCTGGGAAGAGGCTGTCCTGATGGAAGAACTGAATCCTGAGTATTCCTGAACCTTAATTGTAACCTGTTACTTCCCTGATAAACCCCATAACTGTGAATGAATATGGTCTGTGAGTTCCATGTGGCCATTGCAATGAATTATTGAACCCAGCAGTGAAGTAGAGGGAGCCATGGGAGGGACGGTTGGTGTCAGAATTGGTAAAGATGGTGGAGAGAGGAGGCACGTCTGACACCTCTGCCTCACAGGAATCAGCCTTGGGCTGTTGATCTTGATTCTCTTTCCCCATTGTAAAGTTAGAGGAGGTCAGACACTGCCCCCAAGCCATTTTTACAATATCTTAAGTAACTTGTTTAGGTAAGTATTTTAAGAATGTCAGATAAGAAGAGTTGTTTTCAAATGTTTCTGGAGGGGAGAATGTCTATGGGGAGATGTATATTAGATTTCTTTTTCAGTTTCTTCTTGGGCAGGTCTCCCTAAAATAAGGTGAGCACCAATTCTGTGGAGGAAGCTTGATTCCAGATGATCTGGTGATTACAGCAGCAGTCTGCCTGGTTAGCCTCAATGAGTAAGTTGTGGACTTCCATTGTCTGTCAGACCTGGATTCATGGTTACGGGGCCAAGGTATTTGAAGGTCTAAATATCATGGGAGCATTCACTCTCACTCCCTTTTTAGTTTTTTTTCCCTGGTCCTCCCATCCACTGACCTTCCTGTCTGTCTTCTTAGTCTGTCTCAAGATTTCCCTTGCTGCTTGTTCTACTAATCAGAGACCCTAAAGATCCCAGACATCATCTATCATTTGTGGATTCAAGAGTAAGTTGGGATGGGTTTACTTATTCTAATAAAGTATTAACAGATGTTGAATGGATGCTTCAAAATTTTAATAATCTGAGTTTAAGTCAGAAACCCTGGTGGTGTAGTAGTTAAGAGCTACAGCTGCTAATCCAAAAGGTCAGCAGTTTGAATCCACCAGGCACCCCTTGGAAGCTCTGTGGGGCAGTTCTGTGCTGTCCCTTAGGGTCACTATGAGTCCAAATCAACTAGACAGCAATGGGTTTGGTTGTTTTTTTTTTTTTAGTTTAAGTCATGGAAAAAAAAAAAAACAAACCTGTTGCCATCAAGTCAATTCCAACTCATAGCGACCTTATACAGCATGGTAGAACTTCCCCATATGGTTTCCAATGCTGTAATCTTTACGGAAGATTAGAATGACACATCTTTCTCCCATGGAGCGGCTGGTGGCTTCAAACCACCAACCTTTCAGTTAGCAGGTGAGTACTTAACAACTGCACCACTAGGGCTCTTTGTTTAAGTCATTCAGAGAGAAAATTATTGTAGAGGGAATAGATATTTGGCTAGATTAAGAGAGGGTACTAGTAAGAGAAAAGGAAGGACAGGTTTGGGAAATAAATTCTATATTGTATTACAAGTGGTACAGCATGTATAGACTCTGGTTTCTGTGCAAAAGAAGAAAAAGAGTTCACACTTTTGTGGAAGGACAATTGATAATGGTAGGTGAAAGCATTCACAGAAAGTAAACTGTACTGTGACTGAAAATCATGCCTTTTTATGGATCTAAAAAACAGGAAACTATGTTAGTTGATAGTAATCAATAATATGGGATCTCCTCTTAAGACTTGGAAATCCTTAAAGGGACATTAATCACTTTGTATTTAATTACATGGAAACCAACACAGTCTTTTATGGGGGGAACAATTACTTATTGACACAGTTTCCTGTGGTTTTAGGAAGCAAATTAAGAATCTATGACTGCTGGAGAGTACGATCTCTTTCAGAAAGATAAGCAGGAACAGAATACTCCTGCCTCTAAAATTATTATTTATCCTGAGTACAACAGATTTCGATATATGAATTCTGATATTGCACTACTGTATGTATCTAAAACACAAAGTCAAGTTTGGTAAGCAGAGAGATTTGGAATATCAAAAATGCAGTGAAAAACTTTTTGTTAATTCTGTACCAATTAATGTTAATTTTTGTATGTATGCCTAATAATATAGAATAGGTAAGCTTTTTTCTTTTTAAAATACTTTTATTCAATCTAAAAACAAACAAACAGTTGCCATCAAATTGACTCCACCTCATGGAGACCCCATGTATGTCAGAGTAGAACTGTGCTCCATGGATTCTCAATGGCTGATTTTTCAGAAGTAGATCACCAAGCCTTTCTTCTGAGGTGCCTCTAAGTGGACTTGAACCTCCAACCTTTTGGTTAGCAGCTGAATGTGTTAAAGGATGTACCACCCAGGGACTCCATTCAATCTATTACCTATAAAAATTAGAAAATGCTGTCTGTACAGACTATGAGTATCAGCCGCAAATTATGTATGTGTAACTTAATCAGCATTTTACGAATTCCTGTGCCTTGTTGAACTATATTCTAGACCATGTATCCATACTCAACTCTAACCAAGGAGTTTGGGACATGTGAAAATATTTTCAGACTTCGTTCTGTCATTATTATGGACTAGATATCTGATCACTCTCAGTAGAGTTGTAAACACTCTGAATAAACTATTGAAACCCTGTTTTTTAAAAATGCAAGAAATTAAAATGTTTAGAAGCCAAAGACAATTAAAAAGCACAAATCCAAATTTATTAAAAATCAAAGGATGGAAAAAAATATAGCAAGCAAATAGCTACCAAAAAAGAGCAGGAGTGGCAATGCTAACCTCAGATAAAATAGGCTTTAAAACAAAATCCACCATAAAGACAAAGAAGGACACTATATAATGATTAAGGGGACGATCCATCCTGAAGACATAACCATAATAAACATCTACGCACCCAATGACAGGGCTCCAAAATACATAAAACAAACTCTAACACCACTGAAAAGAGAAACTGACACTTCCACAATAATAGTAGGAGACTTCAACACACCACTCTCGGTAAAGGACAGAACACCTAAAAAGAAACTCAACAAAGATACAGAAGACCTAAAGGGCACAATCAGTCAACTTGACCTCATAGACAATATATAGAACACTCTACCCAACAGCTGCAAAGTACACATTCTTTTCTAATGCACATGGAACATTCTCCAGAACAGACCACATCTTAGGCCACAGAGCAATCCTCAACAGGATCCAAAATGTTGATATAATACAAAGTATCTTCTCTGGCCACAGTGCCATCAGGGTAGAAATTAACAACAGGAAGAGCAAACAAAAAAAATCAATTACATGGACACTGAATAACACCCTGCTTACACATCACTGGGTAATAGAAGAAATCAGAGATGGAATCAAAAAATTCCTAGAATCAAACAAGAATGAAAACACATCGTACCAAAACCTTTGGGACAAAGCAAACGCAGTCCTCAGAGGACAATTTATAGCAATAGA